ATAATAGTTTCTTCAGTTTTATCTTCCTGAATGAAAAAGTGTTGGTGGTTCAGCGAGAATTCTGTACAGAAACTGGATTTTCCTGTAAAACATGATAAAATACTCTTAATGAAATTGCTTTCCTGCTGGAGAGCAAAGTAACCTTAGATATAATAGTTTCTTCAGTTTTATCTTCCTGAATGAAAAAGTGTTGGTGGTTCAGCGAGAATTCTGTACAGAAACTGGATTTTCCTGTAAAACATGATAAAATACTCTTAATGAAATTGCTTTCCTGCTGGAGAGCAAAGTAACCTTAGATATAATAGTTTCTTCAGTTTTATCTTCCTGAATGAAAAAGTGTTGGTGGTTCAGCGAGAATTCTGTACAGAAACTGGATTTTCCTGTAAAACATGATAAAATACTCTTAATGAAATTGCTTTCCTGCTGGAGAGCAAAGTAACCTTAGATACAATAGATTCACATGCCCTACCAGAAAACATCTATAAACAGTAAAAGGTTATGGGGCATAACATAAGTGGAATTACTGAAATGGAATTACAAGTTTCTAACTCCTTTTGGCCCACTTTCTCAGGCTGTACTGGGCAATCTGGAACAATCCCAGGAGAGTCTCTCCCATATGTATTGCACACTCAAATCTTTATCTGAGGCCCTCAAATGACCTATCTTTGGGAATTACTTAGCTAGCTACTGGATAGAGGGTGATAACTATAATGACACTTCCATTTATTTATACATACATACAAACATTTGTAAACTGCCTTCATGTGACTCAGGGTGGTTACAAAAATGCAAGATATAGACAACACCTGTCTGGTTGTCTTCAACTCTTTTTTTAGTCCACAGACACTACCCAGCAATTTTTAAACAAATGTTATTTCCTATAACTGGCCTTCTGAGCAGAGTTCTTCTACATCCAAACCTATATAAGATAATTACTGTTTGCTGAGTTTAAGTAATTAAATTAAGAATACAGTTTAAATGTTGATTTAATCTTAATTGTGTTTATTGCATGCTATCTTATATTGTTCATTGTAAATTAATATTTAGAGAGAAAGTATGGAACAGTAACTACCTAGTCCCTTATTTCAAAAGTGCATCTGGGAAGTTTCAAAACTGGGAGGGTTGGCACACATGACCCTCAGCTTTGCTCAATATAAAACACAGATACAGGCGCATATAGTGTTCTACTTACTCAACATGAACAAAGTTTCCCACCATCACCTTTGTCAGCTAGGGGACGAAGCAGGCTTGACTAAGTAATAACAGTATCCTGGAGCAAGGCAAATCAAGGGATCCAGCTTTGGAAAGTGGGGTATAGCTAGAAAGAGTTCATAAATAGAGATCAAAGACCAGGCAATCTGGATGTTCCTTATATCTGCCTGAAAATGTCAGAATTATTTGTGCAGTTACTAGAAGATGAATCATGCAGGAATATACCAGATTGTAAAGCACAACAACATCCTGGAAACACAGCAGTTGAAGGAAAGCTACTCTACAGTAGTATATATTCAGTGACCTATGCCTAATAATATGATAATGACTTATGACTAATTCACTAAGGGGAAAAATTAAGTTTTAACATTCTATACAAAGGAGAATTGATGAGACAGTGTTTTTACCATTAGGCTTCTTGGTGCCTAGGACACACACTTCAGGGATCTTAAGGAATGCCTAGGCCTCTCCTGTCTGAAAACAGAAAAAACTTTTTTTTTTTCATTTTTGTTCTAATTTTTAGATTTTTTTCTTTAAGTTTCTTATTACTTCCAAAAATTTACCATATACTCCTTTCTGCTAGTCCTCTAGTATTTTTCGTTTATGAACATTTTACATTGTTTCATACTGGTTTCCATGTTTTATTTGTAGTTATTATCTAACATGTGTATTGAAAAGATGTCCTTAGGAAAAGACTGAGACTCTGAAATAAAGTGTAAGTGTACCATATTTCTTTCTTTTTCATCTTCTTGGTTGGATGCATGTTGTTCTGTTTTTAATTTAAGCAAGCAGTTTATCTAGTTAAATACTGCATATTTTAATGTATTTCAAAAAAAAAATATTGAAGTGATCAACTGGCTAGTATCCTTACAATACCTTCTCACACATATCACTCAGAATTAGATCCACTGAATTCAGTGTAACTTATTCTAAGGATAATTTGTAAGATTTCAGACTTAGTGGTTTAATTTGTATTGGACTAACACTGTCTCGTTCTATTACTTTTATGTTAAACCATTAATGTGCACCCAAACCTATTTGTCAATTAAAGCACATACTTCAGCTGGAATTTGTAAGGCTGTGATGAGAAGATATCATTCATAATCATGACACACTAGCAAAATTATTTCCACTAGCCAGTTATAATACAGTAAAGGGTAATTTCCAAAAGTGTGTTTTTTTCCCAAAGAAAGGATAAAGTAAAACACATATATGGTGCTGTTTTCAGTTATGATCGGCTAACAAAATGTTTTTCATCATGACAGGGGAAATGAGAGAACATCCACTGCAGGGACTCCTTTGTTTTCTTGACACAAATCCATATTTCATCCTTTTGTGCAGTCTTGGCCAGGGGAAGGCTAGCCAGTTTCTCTGCAGAACAACAGATTATCTACCTGATACCATGATGTTCCAAATGCAACACAACTGGTTTTATTTCTCTATAAGAGGAAGAATAATACCTACTCTCTTATGAGAGTCAAAACAAACAAGCACATTTGAGGATTAAGTTCATTTTCGACGTATCTGGTAAGAGTAGGTTTACATTTCTCTGAACTGGAAAGTAGAACATAAACTACTGTATTCATTTTGTCCCAAGAGGCAACTGAGAATCAAGACTTCCAGTGCTTAAAAAGAAACATCACTTTATTTAGCCCAACTATTTGCCTTTATTCCTCATAGGTTCCAGTTTCTGCTCAGTTAACAATCCTGTTCCCCCTATTTCCAATTTCTCATGACTTCCAATCCTTCTCAGTCCCTGCTGGCCCACAGATGAAGCTGGTAAAACACATCTTTCTGATCTCCAGTCTCAGCAACCAAAACTATAGTTTTGCTGGCATTTATCTAAAGTAGATCCAACCCATAAACATGGCAAACCAGACATTAATCTTGCAAACAAACCTGATCTGAATTAAACTAATGAAGAACAATCCAAGCAAAAAGAGTTGATGTGCTACATGTCATTCATCACTTTCCACAGTGAATTTCTATTCAAAATAAATAAAAATGCAGCAGCATTTAAGCAGTTCTTAAAGCAGTTCTTGGCAAACAGTGCTCAGTATCTACATACCCACACAGCACATCCGCCCATGATTCTTAATCAGCTGTATCCTCATTTAGCAAAGCAACAGGTCTACCTCTCTTGTTGACAGGAAGTCTCCTATGTGATTAACAGCCTTCACAACTTCCTGCTTGTTTCCCACTAATATCCAGTTTGAAATTAATCCAATGACATAGAATTACAGAAAGAAGCACAAAGGTAGCATGCCAAGGAAGATATCAACTTGCTAAGGAAATCATGTGCTGCAGTGACCTTTCTAGAACATTCTATTTTATCAAACAGATTGATTCAGACAGCCTTTCTACAAACACAACAAGGCCAAAAGATAGCTAATGTCTGAAAATTAAAACCCCTGAAATTCACTGTTCACCATGTTGGTTTTAAGCAACTTTCATCACATGCTCTAAAACTCTGAGAAACAAGGACTCCATCAAGCAGGAACCATTATCCACGGATGAATGAAGTCTAGTTTGAAAAGTGTTAATAGTTAAAAGTGTTTTTGTCATAATCATTAGCACCATACTTTCAGATGTACTTCAGCACCTTGCTGAATCAATTCCTAAATGAGTTTAATTATCTTACAGTTTAGATGGCTTTTGCACCACTGGGTAAGCAACAAGATTCCTCCAAGACATCCCTGTGCTCACCAAACTTCCAGTCCCATCCAACATTTTAAAAAATTCATTATGAATAAATAGGAATTTTGCATGTTGCAAAGCAAAACATCAGCTATTGCAGGATGTCTGTGTGTGTGTGTGTGTGTGTGTGCGCGCGCAATTTACCTTCTGATACATGGGTGTTCTGGTATCTCTACTACAGAATTGGCAAATATCCCATGGCAAGCATTTTATGAATGTGCCCACCAATGTTCTCAAAAATAAATGTATTCCTAACCCTAGAAGTTTGCCTGTTTCATCGAATAATGATATTAATTTACACAAAGGCAGATTCTGATTGAATGCTAGGAACAACTTCCAATAGTAAGAGCAGTTCAACTATGGAACCAATTACAAAAGGTGGTGGTGGATTCCCCTTCACTGTTTATTGTCAAGTACAGGCTACACATACATCTGACAGGGATGCTTAATTTGGGATTCCTTTACTAAGCAGGAGGTCGGACACAATTGCCTAAATGACCCTTTCTAATTATATAATTCCATCCCATTATTGACAAGTTTTTATACAAAACTTCTGGAGGACCTTCCTAATAGCTTCTTGGTGAAACCATGTTGGGGGGGGGCAGGAATCCTCCAACACTATTTTTCTGAATACAACCCTTCAGAAATCACTGGAGCCACTTTAACACTGTGCTCCTGAAGCCTACCCCAGTTAGGTAATTCACAGTTGATGTCACTGAAGGCCTTTACAGATCTCTAATAAAGTTACACTCTCATTGTCAATTATTTTGCTTTAGGCATTTACCAGGACTTGGCAAACAAAGCATAAATTATTTGCTATACAGAAAGCAATATAGTACCCTTGCTAAAATAGTAAAAGCAAGGAAGTTGACAAAGACATGAAAAACAACTTGTCGTCTTTGGCTAAGCAAGCCACAATTTGTGTACTCCTCCAATATCTAATTTCCTGGCTAAACAAAGGAAACTATTCAGGATCAAGACTAAGCAACCAATTTGCTGTTCATGTTGAGCAACACTATCAATCTGTAGCAATGCTAGTATACAAAAGTTCTGTGGCAGAACAAGTACAAAGTAC